TCGAAGACTCTCAACTCGAAAGAATCCAAGTGCTTATGAATGGCCTAAATCTTCCGATCCATCATCTTCTCCATCTTCACCTCAAACTACGCAATAAAACATTGTATCCATGGTGTGATATGTTGTAGCACTGTGGCCATCTGTGTCTCCAGCTTTTGAACTAGAGCTAGAGGAACAGGAGTGGGCACTGAAGAGAGAGTGGCTCGGGATGAGCTAGGGGCCTGACTAGTGGCTAGAGACGGTGGAGCCTTAGAATCTAATGTAGGCACCGGAATGTTAGTGTCATCGGCCTACATCTGCTCTACATCCGTAGCTAGGTAATCACTGAAGGGCGGTACATCAACATGTGTCTCTCTCTTTGGTGCATCTAGGTTTCCATCATCTTGAATGAGGTCGATGTTCAGAGTCTTGCAACCAATCACAATGCCAAATGGGAGCAGAAGCATCCCTGCAGAGGTGGAAAATGAGACACGATAAAGGCAGGGTGGTGGTGGTCTTGGAGGCCTTTTCATGGATCTCTACAATCAAGATGCGGGCAAAGTCGATCTCCAAAACTACTAGAATGGTTGCAATCATCATGGCCCGGTCCCATGTAACAACTTTTTCCGCCTGAGTCGGGGACAGTCTATTCTTAACCTACAACCAGAAGAACTTTGTAGTAAAGCTCAGTGTAGCCTTCCTAATACCAAGGCTACCAGTCCAAACCCACTCAGTGCGCTCACCATCTTTGGTAATATGATGAGCCAACCACCTCAACATTGTCTCCCTCTGGTCGGCATTCCTCCGAAATGCCCCCCTCTGAAAGATGCCTATCTGTTAGTCATACTCTGCTGTTCTGATAGGCAGAGTGTGAATGGTGACCAATGAGAAGTCTACGGGGAATCCCCGCACCAGTGCTGATTGAAGTGGAGGCTGAGTTGTGGGTATTGTCCATTTAGATATTGAGTGTCTGACGGTGGCAGCATAAGAAGCATAAAAATCTCTAGTCATCTACTAATTGTATTTCCTCGGGTTCTGTGCCATTCACTCTCATCGGTGTCTCCAGAAGAGCTCATCAATAGCTAGAGCAGTGTAGAGGCTGCCTGTAAGGACCTGGCTCTCCTCAGTCATGATCCTGGCCATCCGTCGGTTCACATTCATCATCGCTCCATTCTCATATATATGATGCTAGCCAGGGAGACACTATATGTTCGGCTCATCGGCCTTGGGATGAGGCTCAACTCAGGTAGGTGTCAGGCTGACGCTTAAGCTATCGGTAACTGATGAATATGCGGTGCTGCTGCTATGACTAAGCCGGACTGCGACTCTAAGTCAGCCTGTGCTTCGATCTGTATGGCCCCTCCTCAAACTGGGGGGCAGTGACCTCTTTGAAGCTAACCTGTTGGGCTCTGTTCCTAGTAGTGTGGGGTACAGTGGGGGAGACCCTGGTAGCATGTACTTTGTATCACTATTCACATCTATCATATGTCGGGAAGGGGAAACTGACTTTTACTTGCCCCCTCGTGCATAGGTAACAACTTGTTTCAGAGCCATGGTACCTGTGGAAGAGTTGTTAGTACCAAAACAAGACAATAAAACACATTGAAGAAATTTTGAACAAAAATCAGACCCAAACAAAAACTAAAAAAATTTCTGGACAGTAGCTGAACACTTGACCCAGGGTAGGTACCTACGGTCCATCAATGGAACGACGGTCTGTGGGTCCCCTCCGTAGGTCAGAGTTCCCATTTTTGGGTCTTAGATGGTGGAACCACGGATGTGCAGAACGGTACATCGATGGAACGACGGACCGTAGTCCACACCGTGGTTCTATGCTTAAGCAATTTTTTGTGTGTGCCACTAGTCCACGGACCTCGACCTACGTTTCCTAGGTAGACCTACGGTTTGTGGGTTGAGATTGTGGGTCAGTTATGTGTCTGGTTTCAGATTTGGAATTCATAGTCAATGTCATATTCCAACAAACATACCATCAAACTAGGCCTACACATGCATTTCAACATAAATTTTGGTAGTTCGTCATCCCTAGGGTTGTGATCAGTCAACTTTATTTACATTTTCACAAAACCATTGAACAACCCTAAGTCAAAACATCCAATTTAGACCCATTAACCGATTTATCTGGTTTTAATTTATAACACACTCACATACTATCATTCCAAGAGCTTTTCTAACTACAATTCAACATTCAAATAGTAGATTAACAGTCCAAGGTCAAGTTTCAACTTCGTGATTTGATTGTCTAAACAATGAACAGAGAATTAAAATTTATAGTGAAATCGTTTAACTTACAAGTAATCGAAGTTGGTGAATGTGTTAGTGCAATGAAATACTTGACCCTTTGCTAGCCTTCGACACCGAACCCACCCAGACTGTGAAATTGTTGGGGAAGAAAAATGGATTTGGATCAGTTATGGGAGTGATTTTGGGGAATTGATTTATGATTATGGGTATTTGTAGGGTTGAAAAATGATCGGAGGGAATTTTGGAAGTGGGAGATGGTTTTAAAATTGAAAGGTTTTATAAAAGATGGGTCTGGGTCGGGGTAAGCAGAACCCTAAGTTGGACCCACGAGACCCCGTCGATGGTCTGTGGGTTGACCTACGGACCATAGGTCACTCTGACACTTAGAAAAATTAGAAAACTTACCTCGGATCTAGGGATGCCATCCACGGTCCGTGTATTATCCAACGGACCGTCGATGGAGTCTATAGACCATTGCATAACTATTTTTTGCAGATTTTTAACTTTTCATCCCTGCACACATAGTAACCATTAGGACTTTCTTTTTACATTTTCTAGACACATTTTAGGCACGGACCCTATTCTATATCTAGCCAACACTAAAACATAAAAATAAACACATATCTAAAAAGCTACATAAATCAAAAGAAAGAGGAAAACACCTATATCGAAAAGAAAAACCTATTGTTGGCTATATTGTACATCTTGGGTTGCCTCCCAAGCAGGGCTTGATTTAACGTCCTGGCACGACGTAGACAGGTATTACTCATACTTCATCAAGATAGCAGGCCTCAATCATTTCTTGCACTCTCCGATTTCTCACCGACAAAAAATTTGCGCTTTTCATTCTCTTGATGATGATATGTCTTCATCTCCTCCTTGTACGAGGCTGAACTTTAATCTGCTTTTAGGCGAAACTCATCAAGCTCATTCATGTGACTCATTCTTTGACTCGATATGGTAGCCCAATACAAATTCAACTTCTTTAGTGCCCACATCGCCTTATGCTCTAATTCTACCGACAAATGGCATGACTTTCGATATACAAGTTGGTAGGGGGACATACCTATGGGAGTCTTGAATGTGGTGCGATAGGCCCATAGAGCATCATCAAGCCTTCTTGACTAATTCGTTAGGTTGGCGTTCACAGTCTTTGCAAGGATTATCTTTATCTCTCTCTTTGACACCTCAACTAGCACAGTAGGCTGCGGGTGCTAAGGAGTAGCTACAATGCAAAGAACTCAATATTTCTGTTGCAACACCTTGAACAACTTATTACAAAAGTGAGAACCTCCATTACTGATAATCGCCTTAGGTGTACCAAATCTGGAGAAGAAACATATTTTTAGGAATTTGGTGACACTCTTTCCCTCATTGATTGAAAGTGCAATAGCTTCCACCCATTTCGATAGAGATTCAACCGCAACAAGAATGTTCTTCATCTCATGTGAACTAACAAATGAACCCATGAAGTCAAGACCCCAGATATTAAATAACTCAATCACCAATATCGGATTCATAGGTAGCTCTTGCTTCTTTGAAATTCCTCCTTCTCTTTGGCAACGGTCACAAGACTTGGCGAAATCATGAGCATCTTGGTGGATGGTAGGCCAGTAATACCGACACTGTAAGATTTTATGAGCAGTCTGAATACCACTATGGTGCCCACCAAAAGGTGATGAATGAAACGCCTCTAGTATACTCATCATTTCAACCTCGGGGACACATCGATGGATAATCCCATCAGCACAAATACTAAACAGTAAGGCTCATCCTAGAAGAACTTCTTCACATCATACATAAGCTTTTTCCTTTTGTGAAATGACAAATCTGATGGAACCAAATCGCTTGCCAAGTAGTTAGCAAAATTAGCGAACCAAGGGATAAGATCATAAGAAGCAGCCAATACATGTTTGTTTGGGAATGCATCATTAATTGCAGCCCCATCTCCTAACTTGGGAATAGCTTGCTCCTCTAATATGGACAAATGGTTGGCAACCTGATTTTCTGTCCCTTTTCTATCCTTCACCTGAAAAGTGAACTCTTGCAGCAAAAATACCCATCTAATCAACCTCGGTTTTGCATCCTTTTTAGCCATCATATACCTTAATGAAGAATGGTTAGTATGCAGTATGACCTTTGTACCAAGCAAGTATGATCAAAATTTCTCGAATGTGGAAATCACAGCAAGGAGTTCCTGTTCAGTCACAATATATTTCTTTTGACACACATTCAGAGCTTTGTTGGCATAGTAAATCAGATGAAGAATCTTCTCTCGCCTTTGTCCCAATACCACACCAAGCGCCACCCCACTCGCATCACATATTACTTTAAACGGTTGCCCCAATCAGGTGAAATAATGATAGGTGTTGCTACTAACCTCGCTTTGAAATCTCCAAATGCTCTCAGACAAGCATTACCAAAATCAAACTTACACTCAAGTTTGAGTAGTTTGCGCTATGGGTGTTCAATTTTAGAGAAATCTTTGATAAACCTCCGATAAAAACCTGTATGCCCAAGAAAACTTCTAACACCTTTAACATAGATAGGTGGTGGAAGCTTTTCTGTTACCTCAACTTTGGCTCTATCAACCTCAATACCTTTCTCAGAAATTCGATGATACCCTCTTTCACCATGAAGTGACACTTCTCCAAATTGAGCATAAGATTTCACTCTTCACATCGTTTCATTACCTCGGTCAGATGCCTCAGACAACCATCAAACGAGCCACCTACCACAGAGAAATCATCCATATATACCTATATCGTATCCTCCACCATATCTGAAAATATCGACATCATACACCTCTGGAGAGTTGTTGGAGCATTACACAACCCAAATGTCATCCTTTTAAAGGCAAAAGTCCCATATGGAAATGTGAAGGTGGTTTTATCTTGATTTTCCAGAGCTATGGAGATTAGATTACAGCCCGAAAACCCATCTAGAAAGCAATACAAACCCGTACCAGTAATATGATCCAGCATCTGGTCCATGAACGGTATCGAGAAGTGATCTTTTTTTGTCCAGGCATTTAGCTTGCGGTAGTCCATGCATACTCTCAATCCAGTTACTGGCCTAATTGGGACAAGCTCATTTTTTTCATTAGGAACCACAATAATCCCACCTTTCTTAGGTACACATTGAACAGGACACACCCAACTACTATATGCAATACGGTATATGACTCCAGCATCCAACCATTTGATGATTTCCTTTTTCTCCACGTCTTGCATAGGTAGATTAAGTTTCCTTTGGTGCTCAATACTTGTCTAGTAGTTCGGCAAGAGTTAGGCAACTATCATTTGTCTAGTAGTTCGGCAAGAGTTAGGCAACTACCATTTGTCTAGTAGTTCGGCAAGAGTTTCCTTTGGTGCTCAATGTTTGTAACGAAATTCGAACCTATCAAGTGTGGCAACTAATTCATCACATCAGAACCACATTCTTCAATATAATTTACCACTAATACCGACTTAAGATTTGTTTCCTGCTTCATAGACCTATAGATATTAAAAGTACATCATCATTATTCAGTCGGAACTTCATCTACCCTCTCTCCATATCGACTAAGGCAGGCCCAGTAGAAAGGAATGGTCTCCCTAAGATGATGGGAACCTCAAAATCAACCTCATATTCCAGTATCACAAAATCTGCAGGAAAAATGAATGACTCCACTTTCACAAGGACATCTTGGAGAACACCAATTGGCTTCTTCACAGTTCTATCGACCATGAGTAGACGCATCGCCGTCGGTTTTGGATCCCCAAAACCCCACTTCTTATAAATAGACAACAACATCAAGTTCATGCTAGCACCCAAGACACACAAAGCCTTCACCAAGTTCAAAATCCCGATGGTACAACGAATAGTGAAACCTCTGGGCTTCTCTTTCTTCTAGATAAGTGACCTAGTAGCAATAGCACTGCAATGTTGCAACCTCTCATCATTCTCAAAACTGACGGCCCTTTTCTTGGTCACAAAATCTTTCATAAATTTTGCATACCCAGGCATTTTCTTCAAAGCTTCTATCAACGAAACATTGATGGAAAGATATTTCAACATAGTTATGAACCTGCGGTATTTTCCTTCTTCGGTATTCTGCATCAATCTCTGTGGGAATGGTGGTGGAGGTCTAGGCATGGGAACAACTTTTTGTGTCACCTCCGCTTCCTTCTCTGTAGCATTTTTTGACTCTCCAGTAACCTCAATCACATCGGCATCTTTTTCTACGACAATTTAAACCTTAGACAGCATAGGGGGATCAATGGTATGTTTACCTCCTTGAGTAGTGACTTCCATATAATACCCATCATTCTTCGGATTCAGGATGGTGTTGCTAGGGTGTGTGCCAGGCTAACGTGGGTTCACAGTAGCGGATAACTGACTAAACTACTACTCAAGTTGGTTGATCGACACTTCATGGGAATCAACTCTTTGACTGATTCTAGACAAGTCATTTTGCATCTCTTTCACATTCTCATCAGTTGCATCAAATCTCTTCATCATCTTTTGCATTATATCCTCAATGCATGACATACTACCCCCAACCTCTCTATTGCCAGATTCCCTATTCCCCGGTGGAACATAAGGCCCAACTCTCTCATTTATGTTGCCATAGTTGTTCCGGTTGTAGTTATTATCACGATTGTAGTTCCCATCAAGGACATAGTTTCCCTCTCAATTATAGTTTCCATAGTTTCAACTTCGGTTTCCTTGACCTCGGCATCAATTATCCGAGCTGGTACCTTGGGCGTTGTTTCGGAAACCCCTCGTCTGATCAGTAACCAGTTATGCATCCTTCTCATAGTAACATTCCTCAACTGGTGGTGGTGGAGCTCTGTTAAGTAGTTTACTGCATTCACCTTTTTTGCACCTTCACTCACATGCTTTAATACCAAACTCAGTTTTGTCCTCACTTGATCCATCTCTTCACGAATATCATCACTGAATTGACTAGGTGTAGCTTGAACTGCAAATGTCCTTCTACCAGTGTTCGCCTTTCGAGTGCTCCAAGCCTTATTATTCTATGAAATATTCTCCAGTTTCTCAGCGATCTCCTCAAAAGTGCACTCACCATATGATCCTCCAGCAATAGTATCCAGCACAGCTTTTCCATTGTCATCCTGACCTCCGTAGAAGTACTCCTTCAGTGACTCATCATATATGAGGTGACTCATCATTTATGCGGTGATTCAGAACACTTTTTATGAAAGTAGTGAAGCTATCCCATGAACTACTTACAAACTTTGCAGGTAGTGCTACAAAATTGTTCAGTTTATCCTTGTGATTTAGCTTTCTAAACACTGGAAAGTACTTTTCCATGAACACCTTATGCAATTGGCCCTATGTATGAATCAAATTATATAAAAGCTTAGAAAATGACATCGCAGCATCACCGGTCAATAACAGTTGAAAGACACTCAAACCTATAACATTCATATCCAATTTTGGTCATCCCACACAACTCTTGCAGACACTTTTGAATTTAGCCATGTGAACATTTGGATCTTCTGAAACTAGACCAGAAAACAACCCTCTTGTTGTAAGAATTTGCATTAGATTGCTAGTCACCACAAATGTATGCCCTGGAGGTAGAGGAGGGAGAACAATAGGTCCTTCTGATTCAATTGTATTGTAGTTGATCCTGTAGTTGTCACGTAACCAAGGTTCTGACGGATTTTGAACCCTCACTGCATCTCTGATTAGATTACCACCATGTACCTGAGCATTCACATTACCAACTCTAGGAGGCTGCACTTCAACTCCATCCTGATGAGTCCGAGATTTGGATTCATATAAGGCTGTATATAGAATGATTTAGTGTCCTCAAATGCTTATTTTTTATCAATAACTGATGTAAATCCCTTGATTTCAAGGTATATGAATTAAAGAACAAAGCAAGGCCACTAATTTGAAAAAAAGGAACGAAGCAAGCTGAAAGAATGAAGTAAAGAAAGCTGAAGCAAAATTTTGAGTTGATGGAAACTCAATTTGGTAACGATTTTTATCTTTTTATGATGTCTAGGTAAAACCCAAATTATTGGGGTGTGATTATGTGATTATGGGTTAATTTGGTTTATTGCTAATTCTTAGTCTAACTGCTATTTAGAGGTGAGTTCAATCAATAATTGTGGTTTAATTTAAGAATTGTAGTTGCAAATACAGTTCTATACATGTGTGTTTGGCTTGGTCGAGAGAGAACTTTTAAAAACTACGATTAATTAATGGTCTATTGGTATTGGGTTGTCATGTGTTCAGCTCGAGAGAGTGAATCGTAAACCATTTTCCACACATTCAGCTCGAGAGAGTGAATGGACTAAGGTGTGGGCTTCTCTTATTTTGCGTGCTTGTCGATGTTCAAGCGAAATTGACTTGATTCAGGGTAAATTATTCGACAAAAAGTTTACCTGCTCTATAGTCTAGCTTACTCACTAATATTTACCTATTTTCTAATAGTTGCAATTACCCATTTGTCTATATCATCCTATAATCAAATCACATCCCAAGAACCAATCTCATTATTAGTATTTCGTGTTGGTTTCTATTTGTAGTTGATAATTTCGAAACCAAAACCACCTTATTTGACATTGGTGTTACCCCCTAATTTAAAAGATGTTGTTATTCGATAATGTCTATTCCTATGGTTGATTTGACCATATTCGCACTTCTCAATTGAATCTTAAACACTTATCGCTCCTTGTGAGATTCGACCCCAACTCACTTAGGTGGGTTATATACTGACTAATGATCGTTGATTCTTAGAATTGGATTAAGTCCATTTGATAGCGTTATTCTATCAAAAAGGCGCCGCTGCCTAGGAGTGGTGTTGATTGAGATTCTTTTGTGGAATTTGAATTTTGTTCTTTTTAGTCATAGTTGAGTCCATTGCTTTCAGTTTTGGTTTTTGTGTTGTTATTTTGAACAGAGGAGATAAGCATATCACGTGGCAAGACAATACCGATGATTGTATTAGAGCTCTTAATCGAACAAAAATGAATGTGCGGCTACAATGAGGCCAAATGAAGTTGCATAGACAATATGTAAAAATTTTGCATCTCATTGTGACTAGCCGGCTATTGAATAAGTCTCTTGATATGAACATTGCACAGTAGCGAAGGTGTGGAGTCTTGTGTGATATTGGTTACAATCCCCTGTGTGATGAGCTTACCGTGAACCTTGTTTGATGAGACCTAGAATTTGCCCTGTTGGTTCGATTGACTAAATGATGCAAGCTGTTGAAATGAGCTTAGGCAACAATTTTAAACAGTTAAGCAATTTGACATTATACCTATTTTGTGGCCAACCTTGTGAGTGCGTGAACTTTGCTTGTACCCCCTTTGAACCTTATCCTTTTTTTGGAAGAAACTTGAGCAAATGAGACCTCTCTTTATCCATCCACTCATAATCCTCATGAACTGTGGCTTGTTTGAATAGCCAACTAAGGCCAAAAGCATAAGTTGGGGGTGTGGTGAAAGGAGAAGGTAAATCAAGAAGTGCAAAGAAATCCCCCTTCCGATCCATGATTTTTAGAAAGATGGAACCCCACGATACAAAAAAAAAGAGAAAAAGAAATGAAGAATGAAAATGAAAAAGAGCGAAAAAGTTTTGAAATAAAGTTGTCAAAGTGAAAGAGAAATGGGGTGTCCGGTATTCCATTAGAAGTGAAAAATGGAGTGACTTTTGAGCATGAGTGAAAATGTTGAAGAAAAGGAAAGAAAGTGTTGTGCATACAACATTTCATGAGGATAGAAGCCACTGAGCCTAAATATCCATACCTTTGCACTCAGCCATGTTACAAGCCTTGAACAGACTTTTTTGATCTTGAGTGAGCTGAAGCGAATTTTTATTTGAAAATAAGGGAAAACCTATGGGTGAAGTCATGCATGTGTTCATCTTTGTGACTGTGAGAGTTGCATGTGATTTCAGAGCTATAAAGTGTTGAACCGTTGTGTGTGAATATGGAATCATTCTTTGTGTGAGGGCATTTGAGTATCTTTGTTGAGCTTGAACTCGCATTTGAAACAAGTATTGCGAACTTGACAATCTTTGGTAATGGTGAGTCACAACTTGAATCTTTGAGTGCACAATTGATCCTTGCATGAGTAAGTTGAGTCCTGTTGTGTGGATTCATCATTGAGTCTTGTGTAGAACTTTTGAGACATCCTTTTTGAACTGTTGAACTTATGTTTTACTTGAGGACAAACAAAAGTTTATGTTCGAGGTGTTGATTAGTCCA